GATCTTGGAAAAGAGTGGCAGTCTTTTTTGCTGTAGGGAGGCTCTTCACAGGGGCAAAATGGACCATTTTGGTTAGTCTGTCTATGACCACCATGATTGTATTGTATCCCTGAGAATCGGGGGTGGCGGACCGCCAGTATATCGCCGCCACAGACTCCCTTTCCCAGAGTAAAATACCTCCAACCTGTTGTGTAAATAATTATAGCCAGTTTAGCATTCCCCTGACTCATTAGCCATGACTGAATGTTGGGAGTAGATCTGTTTAATGCAGGCAAGCACTCTCAATTTATACACACAGGAAACCCCTCCCATGTGCCTGAGAGATAATTGAGTCAGGAACTGTACAAACTCAATTATCTCCCAGGTACAGAAAAGTATAAAAATTTTAAACATCCCCAAAATACCCCCAAAATACATGGAACCCCCTCAAGAGTTACATCCCCAGATAGCCCTGATCTGATTTACAAAAAGCACTCAGAGACTGCCATCGAGGTAAATTTTTGACCGGCTGTCCACGAGGTAGAAGCCCAAAATAGTTCCAGAGGAATCGTGGCAACGGCCGGTCTCCATTTGTGGACTTTCATAGAAAACCACACACAATAGACGGATGATTTCAAATGTCGAATGCTCCCCCCATTCGGTAGTTTGTATCTCCTGAACGTCGTTCATATGGGTGGTAGGGAACTTGAACGGACAGCAGTTTCGTCTTTACTGGTGTTCGCGAGAGTGCCTATCCAAAATCCGTTTCAGGCACTCAACAACCAGGTACCGCTGCCTGCGTTCGGGAGACAAGATGGCTGCCATCCATTCTGTTGACCACATGCGTTTGGCTGTACGAAATGGCGGCCAGCCTGGAGAGCATTCATTAGTTGTTTCCCTTGTGGTTTTACACTTGTTAACGGAGGGTTCTATCGTTCTAATAAGCTGTGGGGGTGGTCTTTGTTCGGTTACCGAAACAGTGAGTATAAAGGGAATGATAGCGTTCGAAAAGGGAATAGTATGAGTGATGGGGAAAGACCTGCTGTTTTACAGGGTGTCTCAAAGATGCATTTCTTCCTCTTTGCATATAACCTGTATTGCTGAAGACGTCTCAGGACCTCCAACATGTTGTGACAATGCATCTGCAGGTCGGGGGGAAAGACCAGGATATCATTAAAATATATAACCATATATTGATCAAGAAGGCCTCTGAAAATTTAATTGAAGTGTTGGAAAGAGGCAGGGGCATTACAGAGTCCATATGGCATAACTGTGTATTCAAATTGTCTGTAACGGGTATGACGGTTTGAGCAGTCTCTTGTCTGTCTGGGTTGTCATACATGGAAAAAATGTTGGCCACAATGGAATCCCAATGTTGAATGTGGGGATCATTGGCACAGAGTAGTTTGTGTCCCCACTCCTGAGGAGGACCGGAAAGGAGCGTAATGACTGTGCGAACTTTGACAAAATCAGAATAGAACATATGTGGCTTCAGGTCGAACATCAATGCCGTGAAAGACCTGTATGTTGATCTATCACCAGTAAATTTATCTGGCATAGTAATCTGTGGTTCAGGTACCAAAGGAGAATCTTCAGGAAGAGGAACCAAATGGGCAGCCATCAGTGGTTGTGGTACAGCAGGCATAGCCTGGACTTGTAGTTCTTGTACTGCTTGAGTCAAGTTGGTGAATGGTCTCATCAAGGAGTTGAGCATTTCGGCTACTTCTGCAAGCTCAATGGAAATTGCTCAATTATTCTGTCAGGACACTGTTTAGGAAACGAAGCCCAATATGCTGAAACGGCTGTAACTCGATCATGAACGCAGTACAAAATGGTCAAAACGAAGAATGGTCAGGAAAGCCAAATTTCAGGACAGGCGGCACAGGATCGTACTCAGAAGTCAAGCAGGAATCAAATATCAGGGAATCAAACAGGACAGGCACTGAAGGTATTAACGCAACAGGAGCACAGTATAACTGAGCAAAGAGTCAAGGGTTAGTGGAGTTTAAATAGGGGAAAGAGGCTTGTCCACTTACTGTAGCTCCTCCTTCATTCACACCCCCTTCTCTGGTTTCTGCCTCCTGTTTTTTTAAGAGACCTTGCTTCGACGCGCATGCGCGCCATAGGATTACTGCAAAGCTACAGATTAAGTGCACCTGTGCTCGGTAGGTGGCAGTGTCTGGAGGAAGGCAAGCAGCCGGCGTGGGTGGTCAGGCCGGCCGTGCTGCATGGGGAGTCGCTTTCCAGCGCTGCATTTCCGTGGAGAAAGAGGGAGACGCGACGTGGGAGCGCAAGGGAGGTAAACCGGCGAGTGGGAACCTGAAACCAACTCAGCATTAAATTGTCACACTTTTTTTTTTTTAAAGTAAGATTGATTGATCTGATAGTTCTCAAGATGTTAACTTCTACGATTCTATCTACTTTAGTAGAGAGCAAAACTCCTTTACGTCAGTAAAATTGTATGTCTCCAAAATGTGTTTGTAAAGGCACCCCCAGGCATAAAAGGGTTAAACCGCCATTTAGTATATCTTCCCTTCCAGAGACACAGGCACAGCTACTGCAGAACACCAATCCGCTCAACAGGAAACCATATGAATGCTGTAAACAGCTGAATAGGAAAAACCATACGAATAGGTTTACACTCCTAGCAGTCGAAAAGCATACAATAAATCCCCCCAAGAAGGAGACAAGGCTCCGTTTTGAGGGTCAAGCAGGAACAGACAGAGCTGTGGGTTTATTGTTCTTATGTACACATTCTTACACATTAGTACCACCCACAGGGTTTTGGAACACAACCAATAAACACATACAATACACTCAGACACTCCCACACAAAATCCTCCCCTCTGCCTGTGATACAATTACCTTACACAATGGAAGTAGCCTGGTGGGAACCTGGTTGCTGGAGGGGGAGACCGACTGTCTCCCCTTTGGATACATAGCTGTGCTGCTGGAGGGGGAGACCGACTGTCTCCCCTTTAGACACACAGCTCTGCTGCTGGAGGGGGAGACCGACTGTCTCCCCTTTAAATACACAGCTCTGCTGCTGAAGGGGGAGACCGACTGTCTCTCCTTTAGATACACAGCCCTGCTGTTGGGGGACAGGACCAACCGTCTCTGCCCCCGGTAGCTCAGCTGGGGAATGGAGACTGGGCTCCCAATTCCCTGTAGATCACACTGCCGCTGGGGAATGGAGACTGGGCTCCCAATTTCCTGCAGATCACACTGCCGCTGGGGAATGGAGAATGGGGAATTCCCTGCAAATCACGCTGCGGCTGGGGAGAGGCGGTAACAAGCTCCTCTCCCATATATACTTCCAGCCTATGGGGAGGGAGACCAACTGTCTCCGCTCCCAATACAGTGTCCTGTTGCTGGGGAAAGGAGACTGGGCTCTCTATTCCCTGTAGGACACTCTACCGCTGGGGGACAGGACCAACTGTCTCTGCCCCCTGTAACTCAGTCTGCCGCTGGGGAATGGAGGCTGGGCTCCCAATTCCCTGCAGGACCGGTGGAGAGACCTCGGTCCCATCTCCACCAGCCACCTGGGGTTCTTCCCAGTAAAACTCTACTACCTCGTCCCAGCTGAATGGGTCTGGATCCGGGTCTGTCACTCTGCTCTCCTGCTGAGCCTTCTCACTGGAGTAGAACAGCTGCTGGTAGCCCTGTTCCAGCTCCATCTCCCGGGTCACCAGGTGGACCAGGTCTTGATCAATCCCGTGATTGTCGCCCCAGTCATACCTGCTCTCCCTCCACTCCAAGAGATCACAGAACCGGGCTTGTGTAGGGCTCCCAAACTCAGGCTCTGAAAAAGTCTACCATAACAAGCCAGGACCATCAAACTCCTCTCCCTCTGGCTTGTCATGCTCGGCTGTCCAGGGCAGGTACTGTGCCCCATACCACCAGAGCGCCTGGTAGGCATCTTCCAGCCACATCTCCTGCCATAACCGGAGCTCCAATTCCTTCACCCATTCCTCCAGGGGCTGCTCTCCCAGGAAGGGCATCCGCAGGGCTAGTCACTTCTGCAATCGCTGGTCTTCCTTGGGGAGTCTTTCACCCCGCTGGTACTCCACAATGCCCAGTGCCTGGTACCAGATGCCTTTTCGGACTGCATCTCGGTCATCCATGACACCCTCATCATACTCCACTGCTGGTTCCATCCCGGTGCTGTCAGGGTCGCTGTACTCAAACATGCATTGCCCTCAATTTGCAAAATCCAAAGAAATGGTGTCTCCTGTAGCTGTCCTTCTGGCTGTAGGAACTATCCCGCCGCTTGCCACCAATTGTAACGGCACCCCGGGCATAAAAGGGTTAAACCGCCGTTTAGTAGATCTTCCCTTCCAAAGACACAGGCACAGCTACTGCAGAACACCAATCCACCGAACAGGAAACCACATGAATGCCGTAAACAGCCAAATAGGAAAAACCATACGAATAGGTTTACACTCCTAGCAGTCGAACTGGAACAGCATACAATAAATCCCCCCCCAAGAACGAGACAAGGCTCAGTTTTGAGGGTCAAGCAGGAACAGACAGAGCTGTGGGTTTATTGTTCTTATGTACACATTCTTACGCATTCGTACCACCCACAGGGTTTTGGAAAACAACCAATAAACATGTACAATACACTCAGACACTCCTACACAAAATCCTCCCCTCTGCCTGTGATACAATTACCTTACACAATGGGTAATGTAATTATCACAAGCAGAGAAATAAAATTTTTCCACATTATTCATAACTTGAAAAGTATGCATCACATTCACATTAACTTTTCAGAATCAGCATACTCCAAATACAAACATATGTCAAAATCATCCAAATTGGTCCAGTGGTTCAAACGATAGATTGTAGTCCTTTGTGACCAAAGGAAGCATGGCTTTTCTGCCCAAAACCAGTTCCACAGAGTCTTCTATCCTGCAGATAATTGGGAAGTAATCCAATTGTCTCCAAGGACAGAGGCAAAACTCAATTAAGCACATGGCAGTAAAAAGACAGTAAAATACAATAAAATACACAAGGTTACATTTATTACATAAAATACAGACATGCAACATATCCCCAGATAGCTTAGGTCAGAGCGCACATTATTACTGAGTGGCTCTCAGATCACACACATACAGTTCAATTGCCATGGAGCCAAAGTCTTTCATTACGTGAATAGGCTCCATGGCATAGCTATCTGGGTTAAATGAGTTCATTCAGTAAATCCGAGAATCTACCGAACGCCAGAGCAGAAATACACGAATAGACCTTTCAAGTTAGGAAAATAAAGTATTTAAATGCCAGTCCATAGTCAAAAGGCAGCAGGCAGACAACCAGGCTCCTCCAATGCACAGTGGCGAGATTGGTCTAGTCACAGTGTTCTTTAATAGATAGATTGAAGTTCTTAAACATGGTCACCATCTTATCTATGTTTATTTTGTAGTTTGAAATCTTACTGACCATGTTAAGATTTAAATTAACAGAACTAAAATTTTTAACAAACTGCATTTCTCTGCAGGTGGCACCGATTCTTTTAAAACACGGAAATATTCATACTTAAATTTGCATGAGCTTGACTTTTATTATTATAATATTTACATAGCGCCAACAAATTCCGTAGCGCTTTACAATAGGTGGACTAACTGTGACGGACTGTCTGGCACCTGAACCGGATACCTCCGTCAATCGATGCTCATATAGCTTTTTCTGAGGGCGCCAAGCATTCCACCAGACACCATAAGCACTGCAGACCCCACTTCCAGTGATGCAGCCACATTGGACCCAAGACCAGGATCCAGCTTCCAGTGGTCAGACCTCTCCTACTCCAGAGAGTGTAGTAGGAACAGTTCTTAGAAGAGCTAGTGATTATACACAGGGGAGTATAGTGATTACAGCAATCACCAGAGTGTAGTTCTCCAATCCCTCAAACATGAGCCAAGACTTCATGAAGGGGTAAAGCAGGTCTGTTTAATGGAAGCCAGCACTTACAATTTATACATACATTTAAACCCCCAACAGCCTCATTTACATACAATAGGTTACATGGGGCACTATAGTACAAGGAAGGGTGGGGTCAGACAATAGAAAGGGCTGATGGGAGTTTGAGGAGGGACACATTTAACAAACACCCCAAAAGTACCCCCAAGATCAATGGAAACCCCACAAGTGTCACATCCTCGGATAGCCCTGATCTGGGTGAGCAACATATCCAAAAATCACCCAGTTTTGGTTTGGTTTTTCCATGGAAGTCTCTTTTTAACATGTCATTTTGCAGAGCCATAATCCTAGGGCAAGAGGCTGGCAAGCAGGCCCCTCCAAGTACCAGTGGCGAGGTTACTTTTGCCACACTAACGAACATGTAATTGTAACCAGACAAGTTTGACGCACAGAAACATTGGGGTTGAGGGCCCTGCTCAATGAGCTCACATGCTAAAGGGAGTAGGGTAAAGTGACACAAAAGGTATGGGAAATATTAGGGAAGTAGATTGGTAAAATAGTAGAATAGTATTCAATGAAGACTTAGTGTGGGGTTTTGGAGCCATTAATAGCTTAATTGATATGCTTTTGTGAAAAGGTGAGTTTTTAATGATTTTTTTGAAGGAGTAGAGACTAGATGAGAATGAGATTCTCAAATTTAGAGTAGACTGTTATTTGTTAGAGGCACTACTCTACTGGAAATGAAGGGCTCCCAGTAAAAAACTGGGAGGCCCTCCCTACATCATGCTGTGCGCCCCCTTTGGCCCCCCTAAAGGCTGGCAACTTCCTGGCCATATGCTGTGCCTAACATTATATTCCCTCAGGCTGTAACAGTCTGTTACAGCCGAGGGAATGCAGGACAGAGGAGCTGGAACGGTGCTGGAGGCTGTCTGTGGACAGAGGGAGCACTGACAGGCTCCCCGGCACAGGCCCCGCCCCCAAATGAAGCCCTGCCCCCCACACATAAGCCCCGCCCCCACCGTTAAGCAGAAGACCTTGCTGCTGCTGGAAAGGCCAGAAGATGGCTGTCTGACCCCCAGCAACAGCCTCCAGTGACAGGTAGGCTTGGTGTGTGTGTGTGTGCTAGTGAGGAAGCTTGTGTGTATGGACTCAGCAGTCTGTCTGTGTGTGTGTGGACTCAGCAGTCTCTGTGTGTGTGTGTCTCTGCTAGTGAGGAAGCTTGTGTGTGTATGGACTCAGCAGTGTGTGTGTGTGTGTGTGTGTGTGTGTTTGTCTGCTAGTGAGGAACTTGTGTGTGTGAGTATGGACTCAGCAGTCTGTGTGTGTGTGTGTGTGTGTGTGGATTCAGCAGGTTGTGTGTCTCTGTGTGTGTATGGACTCAGCAGTCTGTGTGTGTGTGTGTGTGTGTGTTTGGACTCAGCAGTCTGTGTGTGTGTGTGTGTATGGACTCAGCAGTCTGTGTGTGTGTGTGTGTGTATGGACTCAGCAGTCTCTGTGTGTGTGTGTGTGTATGGACTCAGCAGTCTGTGTGTGTGTGTTTGTGTGTGTCTGTCTGCCAGTAAGGAAGCTTGTGTGTGTGTATGGACTCAGCAGTCTGTATGTGTATGTGTATGGACTCAGCAGTCTGTATGTGTGTGTGTATGGACTCAGCAGTCTGTATGTGTGTGTGTATGGACTCAGCAGTCTGTGTGTGTGTGTGTGTGTGTGTGGACTCAGCAGTCTGTATGTGTATGGACCCAGCAGTATGTGTAATAGAAACTGGTCTGTTTAATGCAAACACAGAGGGGTGAGGGAGTCTGACTTAAAGTAAATAGCTCAAAACTGAACAAAGACAGGAATACACCCAAAACCTGTCTGGAAATATAGAAAACAGGGATACCTTCAAAGGTGATTTGTTCAGGAGCAAATTCACTTTATATGTGACTTCGTTGGTATGGAAAAATAAAGTATCTAAAATGATGGATGGTAACTGTGCCAGAATGTATGCTGTGTATACCTTTAAATCTGCTACAGGCAGAATCTGTTTGGTACACACCGAATGATCTGCTTAATACAAAGTTGTTGCTAAATACAAAATAACCATATGAGACCTGGTTACCTGTTATGTATAAAATTAACACACTGTTTAAAATAGTGTGTATATTGCTTTAAGTAATCCGTTGGAAAACTAGACAGTGCACAGAACAGTATTATATTTCAATAAGGAGATATAAAAAACTCCATAATAACTGTATTAGTTATAATCACTTGAGAATTAAGCAAAAACTACAAGTGAAAGTAAAAAACCACTATTAACAAAATGTATTTAAAAAAGATAATGTAGAAATGTATTCATCATATAAAAAACATAAAAGAATAGTCCAAATTTGGAATAAAAATACAAATACAAAAAATGGGAGCCAGGAACGATTAGCAAGTCTTTAGCCACTGCAGATTTCGCACAAATAGCTTCATCCACACTGTAACTGTTAAGGATTACAGTGGATACTATTGTATCAGAAATGAAGAGAAATTACTTGCCGGCTGCTGGGGAGGTTGGCGTGCGTGCCAAACCTCACTCTGATTCTCAGATGCTCGGCAGTCCGTCTGTCCCCAGGTCGTAAGTGCCGTATGTGGGAAGAAGAGAAGTGCTGCTGCTGGCGTCTGGCTGCTCCGTCGTATCCTGCTCACTATCACTGCTGGTCTAACGCGTTTCGTGGGTGTCAGCCCCACTTCTTCAGAGACATGCATGGTGTCTGGCTGCTCCGTCCTATCCTGCTCACTATCACTGCTGGTCTAACGCGTTTCGTGGGTGTCAGCCCCACTTCTTCAGAGACATGCATGAATCAGCAAAATTTTGGTACAACAGCAGAATCTACTGACAATACTATACAGACCACACAGGGATATCCACAGGATGAAGGAAATATGGAGGCTGTGGGACATTACGTCACCGGGTCCGATCCATGCACTGTTCTCTCCCTGGATACAGGTTTGAAACCTAAAAGCACTTTCACACCACACAACATCAATACATCTATTGATTTATTCACCAATCTTGTGAAAAAAGATATGTATAAACTTAGGAGAAAACATCAATATACCCATAGTTATCATGGAAAAAGTATAAATTTTACCAAACAAGATTGGTTGAATATCAATAATTTAAAGAAAGATACATCCATCATTATCAAACCGGCAGATAAAGGGGGAGCACTGGTGATCATGGATCGCACATATTATGTAAAAGAAATCGAGACCCAGCTATTGGATAACACAAACTACTTACCTATTAGTCAGGATCCTACGCACAATCTGAAACGCATACTAGATAAACTTAACCAATGGGCCCTCTCTAAAAACATTATCTCTGATGGAGAATATAAGTATATGAATCTCAAATATCCTAGAATTCCGGTGTTCTATACCCTCCCTAAAATACATAAGAACCCTCTTTTTCCACCAGGCAGACCAATAGTTAGTGGAACTGGGTCTATATTCCAACATCCAGCAGAAATACTGGATAAATTTTTGATCAAATATGTCCCAATGCAGAAATCATACCTCAAAGACACCACTACATTCCTTACATTACTAGCAGATATACATATCCCATCTGGAGACTTTTGGTTGGTAACCATGGATGTACAGTCACTATACACTTCAATTGACCACAATAGAGGGATTGAGGCAGTAGATTGGACATTAGATAGAGACCCGAGACTAACCCAGCAAGGAGAGACCCGAAAATATATCAGGGAATTACTTACTTTCATTTTGACTGAGAATTATTTTTTGTTTGGTGATAAGTACTACAAACAGATTAAGGGTACTGCTATGGGCTCAAATGTCGCTCCAACATATGCTAACATTTATATGAATCGAATGGAGGAAACATGCATCTACCAACATCCTTTATTTTCCAAATGCATAGTTTGGAAAAGATACATAGATGACGTGTTCATATGTTGGAGCGGCACTAGGGCCCATTTACAGGAATTTTTTGAGTCATTAAACACACAAGATGAAAACATTAAATTCACTATGTGCTGTGATACTACTACAGTCCCTTTTCTAGATGTTCAGGTACAGAGAGTACAAAATTGCCTTCATAGCGATTTGTATATAAAACCTACTGACCGTAATAATTTATTGACTTACACAAGCTTTCATCCAATCCATCTGAAGAATGGATTACCATTTAGTCAATTGTTAAGGGTGAAAAGGATTGTATCAGAGGAAGATAAAGTGATGACGGGTTTAGATTTTATGGCCAATAAATTCATAGAGAGGGGCTATCCCACACATGTAGTTGACAATCAACGACAGAAGGTTGATAATCTTTCTTGACAAGAAACCCTTTCAGGTGCAGGGGCCAGAGACAAAATAGAAAGGATTACGTTGGTAACACCATATACCCCACTTAATAAGGAGATAAGACATGTTATATTAAAACATTGGCAACTTTTTCAGGGGGATACTCAACTACCCCCGATATTCCAACAGTCTCCACTTTTTGCATATCAGAGGGCCTCGAACCTGAGGGACATGATAGTAAGGTCAGATATTGGCAGTTCGAAGAAACAAACCAGATTTTTTTCAGAACCTAAGAAGGGCACTTTTCCATGTTTAAATTGCTCACACTGTAACAGTGTGATCAAGGGGGAATATTTTGTTCATCCCAGATCAGGTAAGAAATTTTATGTTAAAGAGTTTTTTACATGCAACTCTGACTATGTTGTGTATGCTCTTAAGTGTCCCTGTGGACTCCTGTACGTGGGGGAGACCATCAGGCCAGTGAAAGAGCGGATAGGGGAGCATAAAAGGAGCATTAGGGCAGCATTACAACACAATAAAGTGGAGGCTCCGGTACCCAGACATTTTAAAGCATATGGTCATAACGTAAACCAATTAAGGTTTCAAGTCTTGGACAGAATCCCACCTCTACGTAGAGGAGGGGATAGACAGAAGCTCTTATTACAGAGAGAAACAAAATGGATAAGTACCTTGGAGACTTTGTCACCATTAGGGCTTAATGAAGACTATGACCTTAAACATTTCTTATGAGAAGTTTTGTCTTCCTTTTGCATTTATTGCCTGCTCTATGATTTTCTGCTCCTTACAGAGGCTCCCCTTGACCAGTTTTGGTCCGGTGTCCTTTCCTGCCAACATTTTGACCTCTTTGGGTCCGCTACCTGCCATCAGCACAGGGTTCCTCACATACGGGACCCAGGGGCACGGTGGGGCATTACGAGACAGGTGAGTTGCATACTCTGGTTTTTCATTTTTATTCTATTTTCTATTCATGTTATTTTTCCAAATTTTTTTTTCAAATTTAGCTACAAACAAAAAATATTTTTTAATGAGGATCTTTTTTCATCCAAGATATTTTTTCTATATTATTTTTTTTCATTTTTTCATTTTTATTCTTTTTAGTATTTTTTCTTTCTTTTCTTTTTTCTTTTTAAATATATTTTTTGGAATTTTTTGAACACTGTTTTCCATTGTTGCATGAGACATAGATAATCTATTTTTTATTATTTTTTCTCTTTTTTCATTTTTAGCTGAGTATTCTACTGATCTATAGCTACAGATATTCCTGTTCTCTTGATCATCTGTTACAGGTGAGCTACATAATAAC